CTACTCTGGCAGAGGACTTCGGACAAGGTGCGTCCAACTAAGTCGACCTGACAACAAAACCAAGTTGCCAAAACTAGATTAACCCATTTCTATAAATTGAAAGGAGACTGCGACCATACCGAAGGCCACACCATCTTAGTCTTTATATCTTCGATATCTAGCTTAACTTACATATACCTGAATAAATGACATCTAGGCCAAAGCTGATAGTTGATCTAAACTCCAGTCTTTATTCCGTTAGTGATCTTGCCTGTTTTAATTTGGGTCAATTGTTGAGTCGTAAAAGGCAATGGCTTTATGAGATATTTTAAACAATTTTTTTAATTACACAAAGATATACATATATAGATTTAACGGAAATGCATTGTTTGCCAACTGGAACGGTCTTTTGTGACTACTTAATCCCTCACTATAATTTTACTTTTTACTAATGTCCTCATTGTTTTTTATCCTCATTGTCCAATATCTAAAAACAGAGAAAATGATATTGAGACAAGGCATGTTTAGAAGTATTGCTTAACAGTTTGATGTTGGTGTGCCTTTTATTTCGTAAATTTGCCTCTTCATAATCCCAGAAAGGGATAGCTTCGGAGCTACTGTTGTAAATTTGTGCGAATATGCTCTCTAGGCAACGTTCATTGACTTCGATTAGTCTCCAGAGTAATACATTATGCTCACTATAATTCATTAATCACTAAGTTTTAGTATTTATGAATTCTATGTTACAAGACATTTTTCAACGCCAAGTGTTGTATTCTTTACTTGATGATCAGTATATTCTTGATTTTTTAGTAAATCTCATCAATAATGACAAAAAGTTATTCAATCACCAAATTAATTCTTTTGCCTACCATACCCTTTTTATCCTTTCTATCATTCTGTCTATTTTTAACTCTTATTCCTCAAAGTATAGTGGACTCATATGGTGGACTGTCACCGGCATCCTCATTGAGCCTCATCATTCTTAGAATTAAGCAAAAACTCGTCAAAGTGCCATGTAAAGTCGACCATCTTTCTGCAAAACGGTTGTACTTTTATTCCCTCTGTCCTGGCAATTCTGTCTATCCTCACATCCTCGTATATTAATCCCTCGCTTTGGCAATTCCTAAATTCTTTATACTCGACTACAATATAGGTGTGCTCTTTTTGGTGAATTTATTGGGGTTCTATCACTCTCGGTCAAGGTGCACTCATCTCAGTCGCTCTGACAACACAAAAAAGTCTCGAAAACGACGTTAAACCACTCCTTTACAACTACAGGAGATTGTGACCAAAACAGCTTTATATTCATATCTGTTTCATTATTTGCCTATAGACCTATACACAAGAGGCCTGAGAATGTACCAAGTTCATGGTCTGATGCTATGAATTATGATGACTACTAAGGCAGTAAACTTCAGACAAGGTGCGTTCAAGTAAGTGCCCCTGGCAATAAGACCAAGTTGCGAAAACGAGGTAAATTCACTTCTAAGCTAATTAAATTTAATTTTATGGACTTGTGGTACTATCCCCTTTGCAAATATTTAAATAAACAATTCCATACTAGTTAAAGAAAATCTAACCGAAAATTAGCGAGTACTGCAGTAGATTTATATGGATATATCCAACATTTTGATCTTAGGTATAAAAGTCGGGTCACACCTATAGAATTATAAGTGTTAATGAAAACATTCCGTCATCATACAAATAAAGCCCAATTCATCAAAGAAACTAAATATTAAGCACTTAATAGCATAGGAGAATTTTGCCTCTGAAAAGCCTTTTCGTTGAATAACTAGAATTAATTTCAGCAGAATCAATTTAATATGAAATGTATTCGGCCTATTTCGATTAAGGTGATGAAGAACTGGTAGTAGAATTTCCCCACAACGATATGAGTAAGCTGATGTTTCCATTA